AAACAAATGAATCAATATTCTAATGTTGACTAATTTATTTTTTAACAATGTGCTAAAATCGCCAATGTGTTAGCTTTCATTCTTATGATGTAATTCTACATGGTAGTCACTGCCTGTGTCAATAAGCGAGAGAATGACCAGGAAACATTATTAGATCCTCAGCAAATTGCCATGTATGACAAAAAATAAATTAATTTTCTGGGCCACCCCTGTGTGATCAATGGTACCAGTCTGGCCACCTCTATAAAAATTGTCTTGCTCTGCCACTGACAATGTGAACAAAGATAGAAAGGATTAAACTTACTGTCATTAGAGCCTTGATTCTCATCCCAGGAACGCACATAATCGTCCTGCAGAAAAAATAAAAATAAACAACAAATAAATAAATAAATAAATAAACTGTGACCTCCAGCTGCAGTGAATAAGGAGCATAAATTGCTGCTGGTGGCATTACAGATATTGAAGCACATGAGCACCTTCACATTGGAGAATTAACGTGATTTAAATCATCCCTGCACAGTGAAAATACTGGTACGATCAGTGCTCGTCAGCAGGAATACATAGATCTGTGTGGAAATGAACTTGACAAACCAGCAATTTCTGTGCATGAGTGAGACAAACGTATGGAATCGGTGGTGACATGTCTTTTAAGTGCACCCCCCCCCCCCCTTTAACTAGGCCATTATTGGTTCCAATTGTTTCAGGCGATGAGTGGGAGAACAAAGAGTGCACGAGAAGATGAGAAAATGGGTCGTAAATGAAAAAAGACATCATTCAAAAGGCAGCTAAAAGAGAGTAAAGACAACTGACCTCAACCTCCTGGTAAAACGGCAGCAAAAAGAGAGAAAAGAGTCAATATTAGTGAAAAGGAAGAGTGTAATTACAGGCACAATAACTGGATTCAGTGATGTTGTAGAGCCACAAGAAAGCCTTTCTTTGTTACATTAAACATTCAGAAGAAATAACGCATTTTCTTTACATCGTTTTACATTCATTTAAATGTTCAAAAACTTAAATTTGATAATTACACACCCTCCACTCAATACAAATATTAGAGGCAAGAAAAGAGGCCTTTTCTAATAAAGTACTAACAAAATACATAATTTTGGACAGGAAATAACATCGTTTTAATTTTGTCAATAAATTGTTTTATCAAGATCCTTAAGCTTTTTTTTGTTTTGTTTGTACCTTGCTTCTTGTTTAAAAATGATTACCCAGATAAGTCCGTTTATAAAGCCCTGATAATACCTAACTCAATTCAAATTCAATTCAAATTCAAAAATACTTTATTGATCCCAGAGGGATATTAGGTAACTCAATTAGTGGCATGGAAGAAAACAAACTTAGATCTCTTGTTTGTTTTTTTTATAACCTGTAGGTCTCACTATGAGCCCATACACGTCAATTAAAAATGAATAAATAAAGTTAAATAAAAACCATTATTATTTATGGATTATTTTGATTACAGTGAGTTTACAGAGGAAATGTGTGCTTTTTATCATGGATCGCCATGTCACAAAATTTATCAAGGATATTTGATTTTGGACATTTTTCTAAATTTTAATAGTGCCTCAGAAAAACACATTTGTTTTTATTAGAGGAAAAAAAGGCCAAAGATTCCAAATTACACAATAAAGTAACAGTATAAAGAATGTAATAAAAAGGCCAAATTATAACTCTTTTAATTAAAACTGTGGAACAGCATCAGCGTGGTTCCTTCTCCTTCAGCACTGGATTGCTCCACATCTGTTGTCTGTACTTTTGGTATCAAAATCTGTCTTTCTCCTCTTGAGCAGCTTTCATGTCAGGTTTTTGGGCTCGCTCCTTGTCAAGTGTCAGGGTTCAAGGTGTGATCCTCAGTGACAGACATGGTTTCAAAACCTGTGAGAAAAGTTCTATGATTAAAACACAGGGCGGGTGTAACCGAGCTGAATCAGCAAATGTAATGAAACTTATTCAAATAATTTTGGTTTGTTTATGTAATTTTTGACCATAGTAGGAGGGTTAAGTTTGTTTAAAATAGAAAAACAGGAGGAAAATCTTACACTGACAGTTTAAAATCCCCCTCCAAGCCTCAAAATCTAATAAAGTACACATTTCTGATGAGATGAGCTCTATAGGAGTCCGTCTGACAGGACCTGGTGCATACGTAAATCTTTTGGAGCATATTGCCCTGTCTGATATAATAAACATGAGTCATTTGGTGATATTTAATATTAGCCACCATCCTTTTTGTTAAATGCGATGACTTACTCAACACGGTAAACATTTACTGGAATGGAAGCGGGTGACGAACAGCTCCTCAGAAGGTGATAAATCCCTCAAACACGTGAAATAAACAGCCCTCGTGAAGGCGAGGACCTTCGTCTTCGACCCTCGCGGTTTGATTTCACAGTGAGGTAAATATTTTCTTCACAGGCAAGGTCTTCGCTGTCGCAAACTGCTTGTTTTCTTTTTCTTCCTTTCTTGCCACGGCGCCGAGCTCATACCCGCTCCCCTGTGGCTGATGGGGGTGTGGGATACACTTGGAATAAACTGCCGGGCTTCATGAGTGATTGCCGGTTGTGTAGTTCAACCTTGTTGAGCCCTGATGGAGTCGCGCATTAGCAGGGTGAGACCTCAAAGGGTTTACGACCTGGCCGTTAATCTGATGCCACCCGTGCCTTCCTTTATTGATGGTACGGCTCCTGCATTATTTAGCAGCCTCTCTGTATTTGTGCTCCTGCCAGAGCAGATAAGGAAACCATCCTGCTGCGTTGACAAGACCGAAAATCGATGATTTTATAAAAGAGAGGCTGCAAGGGGAAAAAAATGTATTCAGGGGAGGCAGAGAGAGAAATAAATTCTCATGAGCGGACGTTGAAAGCGAGCATGAAACATGGAGCGAGGCGACGGGGCTTGGACACAGAGGACGTTTTGTCGCTGGAGTCGACCGGGATTGCCGTCGGTAAGGCAGCTGGTTTGAACACAGGCGTGATTAAAGGAAGCGGGACGGGATGATGAAAACGCTGTGATCAAACTGATAAGATCAAAAAGAACGCCTCTTTGTTTTAACCGGAGCGGAGGGGGAAGCTTACAACAAGCGTGTTCGCCAAAGTGACACAATCCGGGATTGACGGATCACAACCCCTCACTGGTGTGAGGGGGAGAATCACAACTTCTGTGCTTCGGCTCAGGAGGAACAACTACTAAAATGAAACTGTGGAGGACTGTTTGTTCACTTGGTGGAGAAGGAGATAAAAGAGCAAACAGGTGAAACGTGGGCCTCTTTGACAAATCAAAGTGTGGCTGGCTGTTGTTCCTGGTTAAATGTCAGCTGTCAGCAGCGCCCTGCTTTCTGTGGGGTCATCCAGAGGGGTTTGTTGGCGGTGACTGCAGAGTGCATCACTGCTTCCTTTGTTCTGAGGATGCAGTGATAACACTCTGCAGGTTGGTTCGGACCCAACCTTTTCTCACAACAGCTATTAGCGATTTTATTAAAACCGATCAAAATCTAACAAACCAACGAAACACAATGCAACAAAGAGAGACTGCCAAACAAAAATCTATCTACATATTTTGTGTACGAGTGAGATAAAGAAACATGTAAACGTGTCAAAATTTAAGCTTTAAGTATAAAACTCTAAAAAAAACATGTTTTCGCTTTGAAAAATGCATATTTTATTTCTGTGGAGATGTCGAGATTTGCACAAAAATGCTCCCGTCAATTTCAACAAAAGGTTTGGAATATGTGTTTATCTAAGGAGTAATAACAAAAGCAGAGCTTTGCTGTGTCAAAACCGTTCAACATTAACTTTAACTTTAACATCAGAATACAAAGGAAGGAACATGTAAGCACAGGTAAAGAATTTTCCAAAACAATTTTTGTGTTTTTTTGCACTTTTTTTTTATCATTTCTTCTCAGTTATTAAGGTTTGCAGCACACAATCAAGCAGAATCAGTGCAAAGGCAGACGACAAAGACAAAAAACTGATAAAAACAACTTTGTTGTTGCAATGTTTTTGGTGCAAATAAAAAGGGCCATGCTTGAACTAATCATCTACGTCACTGTTTCTTAGAATTACACCATCAACATAAATCTATTGTGGAAAGTGTCTCCCTCTCCTTCCATTGTTCGAGGATGGAAGTTGTCAGTATTTAGTTTTATGTGTTAGGAGCCAAAGTCTGTGAATCAGGGATGTGGAGCTGAAAGTCCTGCTCACTCCACCCACAACAATCGTAGAGTTTTTAAAGGGGAGTACTATGTATTTCCAGGCACAGTCAAGTAACTGTTACCTTCAGTTGTTATAGAATCGCTGTTTATATCAAAAATACATTTGACTTAGCATCATAGCCTATTTAAATGTCTTAAAATTGGCCTCTGTCTCTTTAAGAACCTCTCACCGTTTCTGACACTCCCAACAATGCGTCGGGGAAGGGGGTGCTCTTTGGAGTGGGAGCTCACCTGGAGACTGAGCTCCAGGGAGGAGCTTTGGGTAAATAGGCGGTGCTTTGTACCAGCAAGTGTTTATTAGGCTTCACATCCCTCAGGAGATTCAAGGATTTCTTAAACATGCATAAATGAGTCAAAGCAATACTCTGTGTATGTTTCTGATGAGAGAATGACATTATAACATGACATAAAGCTCACAAAAGTTGAATTTATATAAACCACCTCTTTAAGGCATCATATAACTTAATTAATTGTTTTAAACAAATGAATATTTAAACTTACAGCAAGGTAAGATCTCCATTAACAAATGAACGTTAACTCCTGGAAGAAAATATCTGAGATGTATTTTTACTTTTATTCCAAGAAAACAGATCAACAAAACACAGAAACCATTTGGTTAGGATTTATAATAAGACTAGGAAAAAATATAAGGATATATTGTATTTAGTACAATGCAATAAGTGTTGTATCAAGTTGTAAGTTTGTATCTCTGAATGTGACTGCTTTCTTCCCTCTTTACTTGTGTGCTGTTTTTTTTAAACAGGCCTTCAGCTGATTTTCCTATAAAGCCGCTCCAATTTACTTATTTTTTCTGTTTCTGTTTTCAGACCAGAAAAGCCTGAAATAGTGACAGAAATGCAGCTCATTAAAATGACTCATTAAATCAGAACTCACTGGTTTCACATCTAATGCATCATTTGACAAAAACCCCCAAAATCCGCGGATCATTTGAACAACAGAATTGCATCTCCGTTCAGAGAGAAAGTCAGTTCACGTGTTTGGTTCAGGGGCAGCTGTCTTTGTCTTTCTGTTGTTCTGTTACTGTCTCAAATGTAAAGTAGCTACGGCCCAGAAAGCTGCTAGACTTGTCAAAAAGTGAGATTTTTCTTTGGAGTTACAGGCCGCGTCTACACCACT